AGTAGCAGGAAGATAAAACATGAGCGTATCAAAGAATATAACAACTTAATGTTTGGGCACATGATTTTAAAATATTTTAATAAGATTTTTGCCCATTAAACAAACAAAATCACAAGATCTAAACATTCCTATTTTTTAAGATAATTTTATTTGCTTTAATATGTCAATAGAAGGGTGAAAGTTCAATCTAAAATGCATGTGCAGCTAATGTGCTTCCAGGGAATTAATTTTTTTTTAAGACTTTAGATTCAATGAGGCACTTTACTTGACTTTTCAAGCAAGAGATCAGGATAACCAGAGAAGCTACTTTTCATAGTAATATTTATTTCCTTTGAATAATGTATGCAATCACAACCACAGAGGAATACTACAAAGCATTTTACCCAAAATCACAAAGTCTGCACAGCCTTTTTTCTCCCTCGCTGGAAGATTCCCAAGTGGTATTATCATCTGCTCTTTCCAGACTCCAGGAAGTTCTTCCTTAGACTTTTTCCAGTCCTACAACACCCCACATAGCATACATATATGGCGTATTAATGTGGGTTTTTTTATTTTTCCTCCCACATAGCTGAAAGCAATGAGTCACCTGACATTAAGCAGTTGTTAAAATAGCAAGGGTGGCACAAAAGATAATCAATGGCAGTAAATATGCTATGAAATGTACTTATAAGCTTATATACTGGTGTAAAACTTTCTCAGACATAGCTGTGAAAACTGACTTTTAGTACATTTAGTATGCCTTACAGCCTTCCTCATGCTCCAGTAGAATAAGGAGAACATAAGAGAAATGAAACTGACCCACTGGAGTTCCTGAAATAAACAAAACCTGAAGTTCTCGTAATTTTGCCTAAATGTTTTTCTCTCAAGCTTGCTTCATCCAAAGATGATAATATTTTCTTAATGGGAGGAAATATGCAGAGCACCATTATTTTTAATAATTAAATAACACAACAAATACACTCAAGGAAAAGACATTGTCAAAGAAAAAGGTACCAGCACACAAACTGGGTAAATACCAGACTAGCCAAGAAAACTATAGAAGTAGAATCAACAGCATAAAGCAGTTTTTAAAAATGCCATTTTGCATTCCTTCAGTGGAAGTGTTTATGATAAAACACAGTAAATATAAATACGGCTGCCAGTGCTGGTAAAGTAGACAGCAGTTGGCAGCTGTTGAGCCCTTCACTTAAATATAGATGTAAACAAGTTAGAGAGATTGCAAAGCACTGCAGCAGAAACAAGACCCTTGAACCCATGAGCTTCCAAGTAGAGGGAGTTGTTTAGTCTAAAAAGGAAAACATTTGGAAAGAGGCATGACAACATCCATAAACATGGTTCTGTGTTTAATTTACTTGCTAACCCTTCAGGGCAAATGTTACTGGGTGGAAATGCTGCCACAGCATCACCTCATCATTTATCTACTGGTAGTCAATGGGATTGGTTATTATCAAAGCAGGAAGCCAGTGTGAGGCCCCAGATAAACCCTACTCAGATCAGCTCTGCAGTGAGGTTTAACTAGTGACTCAACACCGGAGGAACAGGAACAAGCCAGCTGCAAAGGGGAGCTACCTTCACCCTGAGCTGGCAAGGGAGCCTCAGAATGAAGGGCTTCAGCAAAAGGGCTTGCCTATGTTAAGCATGGCCCTAAAGAGCTGTTTAGGGCTGTTAGCAATCCACAGCAGCTGACACCATGCAACCACTTGCAGTGCTTCTGTGAAGGAGCAGACAAAGCATCCACCACCGGTGGTGGATCTGTTGCTGGAAAGAAAGACCATGAGGCATGAGCATTCAAGCCTTGTGCAGGTGACATAGATGAATTGTCCAGTGTTCTCTTCTTTGCTGAAGTCTTCTGACTGTTGCTTTTTCTTCCCCATGTTACTCCTGGTTCAGCTAAAGGGACTGAGATGGCAGTAAGCCTAAAGACTTAGTTCCTGTATGGCTAATTACTACAGAGCCTGGTGGGGAGAGTTTTAGTTGGCATGCAGCAAGGCGAGGCCAAGTAAAAATGCTGTTCCAGGAATGGAAGAATACCATACTGGAGGATGATGATAAATGCTAGGTTTATAGACAAGGAAATTTCTTAAGCTTCTTTAAAAAAAGAAGAGAATGTGGTTGTGCTTTTGAGCTCTGCTACTCAGGGGAGGTTTGTGCAAATTAGTGCCAAAGAAGCAATGTCAGAAGTCTCAGCTGTTTCCCTGATGGCATCTGGGCCAAAGGCAGAGCTCAGGGAGTCTCATGTAGTCACAGGTTTAAGGGCTACTTCTGCATGAGGATGACATTGTTGATACCATGAAGCTGGCTGATACCCCAGGTCCCTTTTTCCTTGCACACTGATCATGTGCATACACGCAGGCCTCTGCTGATACCCTATAGCTCCGGGTGGGCTAGAAACAGAACATGCAAAGCCATTCAACAGGTTTATACTCACAACCGGGCACCCAGCTCAGCTGATTTAAAATCACACTCTTCTTAGGGGAAATTTTAAATAAGTTGAGTTCAGCCATTTTCAAGGAACTTCAGTGCAAAGAAAGGAAAATTTCCCAATGTTTGGGTCTCTGCTAGAACAATTGTGTTATTATGGACAATAACAAAGCTTGACATGAGTTATGTGTCTGTATAGGATGTGGGTAGCAACTAATTAACAGCAGCATTTTGAGAACCAAGACTACTGCCACTGGAAACAGTGGGAAAATTCCTGTACATCAAATGTGTTTCACTTCATATGGAAATGTCCACTTCAGCTTTACTAATTCTGGTTTGACCTGTCCTAGTACCTGTGTAAGACTCCAAATATATACAGGGATTTTTCTGTCTTAGAAAGCTGTCTTATTCTCAGAAGATACATGAGGATAGTTAAGGTGTGTTGGGGAGTGAGCTCGTTGATGGAGCCCCTCTGACCCATTTGGGATGTTCCATATGACCCAGTGGGAAGTGTCAGAAGTGTGCCCTCCCAGCCCCTCAGCTCTACCTCCCCTGCCCATACCCACCATCAGTGGCTGTTGGAGGAAGTTGAGAAATAACCAGCCCAACAGCTGCAGCTCCACTCCAGGCAGCTGTGAGTGCTGGATCTGGCCTTTGACAGCAGCTCACAGCTTTCCTTATGCTGCTGGGAAGCAGTGGTTCCTAGTGTTCCATCTCCTGAGAGCCAGCTGAGCCCCCAGAGCTCACACTGAGCCCTCTGTCATCACACAGCTCCAGTGGAGTGGGTGCACCCTTAACTAACATTCCACAATGATCCTCCACAGGAGTGTTTTTACTCTCCTCAATTGTCTACACTGTTTATTCTGCATTAACTTTCCCTCCCTATTCTTGTTTTGACCAAAAATCCTCTTTTCATCTTGCTGCTACTGAGTTTAGCATTTTATTAATCCCAGTCCTTCTCCCAGAGCTGAAGAACCACAGCATCTTTTACCATTTTAGACAATGCTGGAAAGAAGCAATAAAAATAATTATTAACCTCTGAGAGCATCATGCTAAAATGCACACAAAAAATTAAAACCAGCTTGTATTTGAATGCAACCATTGACACAATTAGTGTGAAATAATCCTCACGATTACTGGAATATTCAAGATCCTTTATACCTGGGGGAACTTTTCTAGCAGGAAATCTGCTAATCTGTGTTTGTTTGAGGCTTTCTCTTCTCCTTTCTCTTTGTGCAGGACATATAAACGGGTCTTCCTGTGGTATGTTACTGCAATGTATGTTTTACTGGGAACAAAATATATCAGAATTTCACTACCAGGCAACAAAATATATCAGAATTTCACTACCCTCATAAGTGAATTACACCTCCATTCTAACACAGGCTACAGATTTCTAAGTTCAGGAAAGAATTAGCTTTTTGGATAAATAACTGAATCGACAAACATGCCTTATCCAAAGTATCTCCACTTACCCAGTTCTGTATAACAATGGCATCCAACATCAGTCCAAACAAAGTCTGATGTATGTGGCATTACCTATTAATGAATTTTTTCAGCTAAATGCCTTTTTGTTACAGTCTGTTTTAAGTAAACAAACCTCATATTTAAAAGCAACTTTAGAAATGTTTTGACCTTGAAATTTCTCAGTTTGACAATACTGAAATTTAAAGTGCTGTATTTTACCTTGAATACATTTACAATTTATTTAAGTTATTCTTACATTCTTACAAGGGCTGCCATGTCAAGGAATCATTTTAAGATTTTCAAGTAATACAGTCCTGTAGACATCAGTTTCACAAAATTTTTCATGCTCTTAGTGCATAAGTTTCAAAGTTGGAAAAAAAAAACTTCTAAAACTCTGTGTACAAACCCAAATCTGGGAGGTGGGAAAACATTTTTTTCTTGGGTGAAAGAGAGCAATCATGATAGAAAACATGATAAACCAATGACTGAAAGGTGAGATCTGTGAAGACATTTCGCTACTAATTCTTGCATATTCACAATGGATTCTGTGCACCCCTACAGAAATGAAAAACCGCACTCAGATAGATATTTGGATAAAATGTGAAGAGTTCGGTTGGTCGGACACTGGAACAGCTCGCCCAGGGAGGTGGAGTCACCACCCCTGGAGGTGCTCGAGCTGTCAGGATGTGGCGCTGGGTGATGGGGTTCGGGCTCACAGGGACACTGCTGGGCTAGCAGCTGGACTGGGCGGTGTTAAAGCTACTGCCCTGGGCGATGTTAAAGCAGCTGCCCTGGGCGATGTTAAAGCAGCTGCCCTGGGCGATGTTAAAGCAGCTGCCCTGGGCGATGTTAAAGCAGCTGCACTGGGCCATGTTAAAGCCCTCTCCCAGCCCCGCTCCCTCCAGGGCTCCGCGGCTCTCCCCGAGCCGGCGGAGCTCGGACGGGGCCGCGCCCGCGCAGGCCGCGCCGCCGGGGGCGCGCCCGGCCCCGCGGCATCCTGGGACTCGTAGGCCGGTGCGGGGCCGCGCCGGGCCGGGGCTGCCGGGGGGACTACGAGTCCCAGGCGTGCCCGCGGCCGCGGGGCGGGAGGGGGCGGGAGCGGGCAGGGGCTGGCGGCCGCCCGCGCCCCTGGGCTCCTCACCTTGGGGCGAGCGGCGGCTGCGGCTGCCGGGCTGGACGAGGGCGCAGGGAGCGGAGCGCGGCCGGCCGGGCGGGGCTGAGTGCGAGGTCAGTGGCGGAGGGGGTTTTCTCCCTTGAGCAGATCTCCCCTGAGGGGAGCCGCGAAGAGCGAGGGCTGGGGGTCGGGCTGTCCCCGTGCCTGTGGCTCTCGCTCGGTCACCCCGGGCCGCGGTAGCCCGGGGGTCTCGCTCCGTGCCGCCCCCCTCCCTTCCCCCTTCATCGGCCCCGGCGGAACAGCCGGAGCCCCGCGTGCGGCAGCCGCGCTCCGGGGCAGCGCCGAGCCGGGGCAGCGCCGAGCCGGGGCAGCGCCGAGCCGGGGCAGCAGACAAGGGCTCCGGGGCAGCGCCGAGCCGGGGCAGCAGACAAGGGCTCCGGGGCAGCGCCCAGGGGCTCCGGGGCAGCGCCGAGCCGGGGCAGCAGCCAAGGGCTCCCGGGCAGCGCCCAGGGGCTCCGGGGCAGCGGCGGCACCCGCGCCTCTCGACGCTGTAAAGCACGCGCAGCACCCAAGGGGAAACCAGAGGGAGGATGAGAGATCAGTCATTTCCTCGTGTTGTGGCTGCGCCCCTCCGACTGTGAGCTGCGGGCTCTCCGTTTAGGTCGGAGCGACTCTCTCAAGGAGCTTTGTAACAACCAAAGCTACCTGCTCTGCGTTTCAGTACTAGCTGTAACCCAAAGACCTTCAAAACCTCGATTAAACTACCCGCCCCCAACCCCTTCGTGCACTTCCACTTTTCAGGCAAAGAAGATTGTGCCTTTCCCTATGTCAGTGTTTTTCAGCTTCACGAACTGTGGGAACATTTTGAACTCCTTACAAGGGATCAGTGAAAGCAACTAGGAAAAGCCAGGCAGAAAAGTAAGTAGGCTTAAATTTGCTGTGCTTGTGCCCATGCTGCTATTGCAAAATTTCTGATTGTCTGAACATTGAAACATGGTTGAAAGCTGTTTTGGGGACGCTTTGAAATTTTAGAGGACCCAAGTGGCTGTTGCAGCAAGCATTTAGGGATAGTCCAGTAGTAAGGAAAACAAAAAAACATTAAATTGCTGCCATTATTTCTGCTGATGAATCAGCAGAATATGCATTCATAATTCTTCACCTCTATCACAGTAATACAGTTACACAGCATTGGTTTTTATGTTGATGACTGACAGCAAGGGTCTGGGCACTGGCATGTTTTGACTGAAGTTTTCCCAAAGGAAGACTAAAACCTGCAAACAAACTTTTAAAATGTCTCTTACTGAATGTGCAATAACAGGTATTTTGGGTTAACAGGTGTCTTGATTTATATTACAGAACTTTCATGAGTAGGATCCTACTTTACTGCTGCTGTAGAAATAGAAAAACTAAGGTATTTTGCTGTTTCAGAAGCAAGCACATGCAGGTGGCTTCCACTGTATTTACTCTGTGGGGATCACCTCTTGTGTCTCCCCAAGGGACAGTAATCACACTTTGAAACACTTGGTTTCTGACAGTTGTAAGCCTTCCTAAGACATGACAGATGTTTCAGTTCTGCATTTAGCAGTCTTTCCAAACTGAAGTGTTTTGTTAATAGTCATGCACTGTATTGTGAAACATCTCTGAAATGTAGTGTGGAAAAGGTGTATAGGAAGAGAATGGAGTTTCACACATTGGAGCTGCTATTGGTACCTGATAAAGCATATTAATTTGCAGTAGCATTTACTCTCTTGTATAGGCTTGAAGGTATTTAACTCATCAGTCTCATTCTAAAAGCTTCATTGCATTTAAAGATATATTTATAGGGGGAGTTGGAGCAATATTCAGTTATATTGAGAATCAGATTTCAGTGAAGGAAAGCTCTTAAGTCCAGTGAGAAACAAGCCTGCTGCTGCACTCATTCTAAACTAAACTAAACTTTATTTCCTCTCAGTATCATGTCCAGAGCTGATGTGCTTTTATTACTCATAGTGTACAAACTCTGTGTGCGGGGTAACGGTTGGCTTAAAGGCTGACATAATTTTAAAAAATGCAGATAATTGAGCATGATCTAGGTGAAAGGCCTTGGAAAATGTAATGTTTTTAGCCTCTGGCATAAATTGAGCCATGTTTTCTAAGCTGAATACTTACTAAAATGCTCAATTGGATTCAGCCATCAGATATTACAACTTGGAGCACTAACAGCAATTGCATGTTGCCTTTTGTTTAGAATTTCTATCCATTACTGTGGTTCAGATCATGTCTTCAGCACACAGTTTTTCATGGTTATAGTAGTCTGTCTCCAAAAATTCAATGTTTTTAGAACTTAAGTATTCCAAAACCATGTGGAAAGATGTTGTTATATTAGTGTGATGCTAAAGTCATGGTAAACAGGCACAGATTTAGCACATGGCTGTCACACCATTGCTCTTTTGCTAATAACTTGAGAAAGAAGAACTGAACGTATGTTTATCTGCTTTGACTGTTACAGTATAGACAGACCAGTATTATCTCGAACTACTGTTAATTTGAATTGCAGCTGTAGCCTCTGTAAATGTAACCAAGACTTCTGTGCATCCACTGAGCTGCCTAGAAAAGCACAGTCCTTTGAGCTCCTTTGCCTCTCTTGGTCTCTGCCCAATGAACTGTTGCTATTTTTTCTTCTATTTTATTGCTGATGTATTTTTTCTGTAAGATCTGGTTTTTAAAGCTTTCTTATGGTTTTTTTCCTATCTGATTGTTTCATAGCCTGTAACTTCTAGTCCAAGAAAAGCATGCTGAATCTAAAACTCTCAAGCTCTAATTAGCCAATTAATTTCCCAGTTAATTTTGATGAATCAGACACTATCATTATTCAGATTTTTCTTTCCCTAGGTCTGTTAGTCAGCAGAATGTTGTCCTGCTAGACTGTATTTCTTGATAGTCCTTCTTGATAATAATTCTTCACATGGCTACAAGACCTGCCATTGCTGTTATTTTATAACCAGTTATCTGTAGCTTTTTGCTCTTTAGAAGTATGAGAAGCAGCAAAGTGCAGGTTTGTTGTTATTTACCGTGTGCCCAGGCAATGGGAAAGCTATACACAAACAGACAATGTCAAGTATTTCCATGGCTTTGAAGATATGGCTGTAAATTTGTGCAAGCAGCTGAATGAGTTTTGCAAGTCAGTTGCATTGATAGGATTTAGATTTTTATTTATGATTATAAGAATACATAGACTAACCACTGGCCTATGCAGGAACTTGGACTACTCTTCTCAAAATGTTGCATTAACTATTTATTTCATTTTGTTCAATAGCAAGCTGGGAAAACATTCCATGTGACAAAGAATAGTGTGATTGCCTTCCTGGGAGGTTTCTTACAATCTATATTTTTACTGCCTGATAGAATCTTTTTTTCTCCAGCCTTTATTGAAAATTTACTGGTTTTGCCCAGGCAGAGGATCAAGTTTTACTGCTCTGCTTTGACTATTGCATACCATTTTGCACATCCAATTCTGTTTGTGTTCTTATAATGTTGTGGTTATTGGGGAGGGTGTGGGTTAGCTAATTAATAGATGTTAATCTGTTAATTGAAAATCTGAGATTCTGACACATAGGTTGGGCTAGAGCAAAGATCAAATTGCTCCTTTTAATTTATTTTATTAAAATTACGTTCTGAAGCAGGGCTGAGATTTGAGAATTCCTCAGAAATCCTCTCATGCCATGTTGGGTGGGGCTTTGAACAACGTGATCTAGTGGAAGATGTCCCTACCCATAGCAGGGGTTTGGAGCTAGGTGGTCTTGAAGGTCCCTGCCACCATTCTCTGATTCTAAGGCACAGAGAGAATTTTCCAATCCAAATCAAAGATTGCTGTGTGTCCGTTGTTTGAAGCATCCTTGTTCAAGTTCTGTCTAGTAGGGACAGATCAATTAAACTCAGCTAAGGATTGAACTGATTACAAAATTTCTACCTGGTTTTCATGGAATAGAATTCTAAAAGCCATGCCCTGTGCAGGAGAGCACTTGGATTGCTACTCAGTGGTGCCCACAGGGAGCTGCCCATTCCTGTTCTCACAGAGCTCTGCTAAACTCAGGCAAAGCTGAAGAGTCTCATCAGGAACAAAACTAGAGATCTTGCACAGATACAGGCAAATGTAATGTCTTCTCTAAATACAGAAGTTTTGCTGCTGCTACCTAAACTTTATAGCATAACATGGTTCAAGTCCTTTCCCAGAGAAAGCTATATCTGAGTTAATTTATCACTTCATCATGGTCAGCATCTAATCCTGCATATCCTGCTTTACCAGGATCCTGCCCCAGCTTCAGAGTTTTGACAAAACATTGTTTTCTAAGCCCTTCCAATTTCTTTCAGGTTTACTATTTCATTATCTACTGTCTTTGGTTAATTGCATTTTTCTTTTTGGAATTTTGCACTGTACTTGTTTGCTTGTTTTCAGTTCCATATTATATGATTGCAGTTCTATTTCTTCACTTAAAATCAATGTATATGATCTCTTTTTGGTGCTTCATTCATGTCCAGCTGGACAGGTGACCTGAGTCTAACTTATTACAGTTGTAGTGAGTCTGATTTTATTTTTTCCATGTTTTCTGGTGATATTTGTTTCTTTTGCATGAGTGTTCCTGAGAAGGAAAGAAAGGTTCTTGCAAGAAGAAATCATCAGAAAATTACTCAATGAATCTTTCTTGATTTTATTTGATGATCCTCAGCCCAGATACCCATCTTGCTCTTCCAGTTCCTTCATCAAGATATCCTGTTCTAGTGTAACTGTTGCAGGAATCCATTCATGCAGGGTTGTTCTGCCAAACACACTTAGAGGGTCATTTGGAGAAATTTTCGGCTCCATGAGGGCTGGTCTTATTGTTTGTGCAGTTAAGAACAGACATGGGGCTGTCTCACATTAAAATTTCATCAGCCATGGAAGAAATATGAAGCCATAAGGTGAGCTGCAAATAAAGCAGGGGTTTGCTGTGAAATACTTTTTGAGAAACTTCTCTACACGTTCTTTGCTTACAGTGCATTTTAAAATTTTTCAAGCAAAAGCAGTGTTGGCCTGTGTTTGCTGTGCACTCATAGCCTTTAGCTGTAACCTTGGCATCAAAATGTTGGGGAAGGTTATTCCCACTGTCTGGCATTCACCCTCAGATCATGAAGCAACACTCAAATATATAAGAGATAGGAGAATGCTATTGTTTAGATAACATCTTAGCCAAGCAACAGTTGCTTAAATAGGGACAGGATCTGTCATAAGTCATGTTCTGCTTACTGGTCATGTAGGATTTGGTTTGATACCTCGTGCAAAAAAAAAAAAAAAAACAAACAAAAAAAACCTACAGAAAATGTGTGTTATGAAGTAACTTCCAAGAATGAAATGTTTGCAGATCCCAACATGGATAGGGAAGTTCTCAGAACTATCAGGAGGAGAGTTGCAGCTTTGAGAAATAGTGATACCACTTTCCCAGGGAATGGGTGCCCTATGCTGAAGTTCTGTGTTGCCTTTCAGAAGCATCAGTTCTTCAGGAATTTCTTCAAGCATGGCAGCGGCTGTAGCCTGTTTTGCAGAGGAACAGATCCTTTCAGAATGTGTTAGAAAGAGAGTCTTGTAGAGCATCCTTGGAGACTATTCAAAACCTCATGTTACTCAAGTAATGGTAGTTCCTTTATGCCATGTTTACAGCAGTGAAACTGGAATATGAATTTTAATCCCATTCTAAACACTCTTCTTCCTCTGTCCACGCTGTTTTACTATCCTTCAGTTTCCTTTGTGACCTGAGAGGTTTACACTGTAAACATGATGACTGAAATTATTTTGGTATAAATAACAACCTTCTATTTTTGTTGTTTGTTTTTAACTTGATGCAGCACTTGAGAGGGTAGTGATGTGTGTAAAGAGTTGATGAAGCAGATAGAGAGGGGAAAAT